CATGTTCTGTGCAAAAATACTTTTCAAATTATATTATTACTGTAGTCAAATGAACAAGTTGTAATCCACCATCACTTAAATAAGAAAATAAATCAACAAAGAAACTTAAATAACCAGTCCTTAATTCAGTTTTGGGTTGATTCTCTGGTTTCACTGTGCTGTGTTAAATGACTGGGTTTAGTTAGGGTTTATAATCAATTCAATTCAAACTTTTATTCATATAAATCTATTTGACAGCAGCAGCTGTCAAGGTACAGTATGTGATATAGACCCTACAGTATTAGGGTTAGTAATCAAATGATACCCTATGAGCAAGCACTTGGCAACAGTGGGGTGGGGGTGGGGGGATCTCCCTTTTAATAGGAAGCAACCTCTGGTAGGGTCGTCATTTGCCGTGACTGGCTTGGGGGTAAAGGTAAATAGAAGAGAGCATAGAGACAGAACAAAAAGCGCAGCGTGGGAGATAAAAGATAAAAGTTAATGACATGCAGTAGTAGTATAAACACATTGGAAGTACTCACTGCATCATCACAAGTCCATCAGCAGCGTGAGCCTTTAGTATCAAAGATATCATCAGTATCATCAGTTTTAAGCTCAAAGTTAAAATTAAATACATGGTGGGAAGAAAGAGAGAGAAGAGAGATAGGAAACTAGTGAGTGAAGTGGAAATGAAGGGAGGGAGCCTGAGAGGGAGAAAAGGAGAGAAGGTAGGAAGATAGAGTGGGAAGATGCTGTGAAGAAAGGGAAATAGGGAGGGATCAAGGAAATGAAGGACAGAGGAAAAAGGCATAAAGATTGGAGGAAAGAGGGAAAAGAGTAGGAGGGAGATAGAAATATAGGAAGGGAGGAAAGAGATAACACATGAGTATAGGTAGGAGGGAGGAGAGAATGAGGAAGATATGGAGCAAAGGAAGGGAGACAAGGGAGGAGGATCAAGGGAGAGGTAAATACAGGGAGGGGATAGGATGGAGGGAGGACTAAATGAAGGTAAATAGGGATGGAGAAATTGGAGGAAGTGGGTGAGGGGTAAATACAGGGAGGAAGTAAGGAGATAGAGATGGAGGGAGTGTGGGTGTACTGTGTGTTACGCACTGATCAATAATCAGTCATTTGTTCCATTATAAGTGGTCACACTAATGGAAGCAGAGCAGCTGCAGACAGTCTGACTGTAAACTGATTACATTTCATATTGAAATGTCTTCACAGACTGAGATTCAGTCAGAGTCTGAACTTCAACATGTTTTTCACTGAAAGTCACCTAAATCAGTCCCACTGGCTCGACCCAGAACCGGAATCCCGTAAAGATGTCACAGGTTCTGTAAAGGATCCGCAAACCGTGCCCAGGTCTGCTTGCATGGCGGAGTCGGACATAAGTCGGACGCAAGACTCAGAGTTTCGTTTTAAACTCAGTTTGTTGAACAAGCTGCCTGGTGTAGGGTCCCAGTGGTCTTAAGACCATAACCCAATATTCTTCTCTTTGTTTGAGGTGTGCAAATTTATCTCCACCCTTGCACTGAGACTAATAGATTTAATACCTGCTGACACTTGTAGTGTTCAACCCTCAGTCTACTTGCAATCACACCTACAGAGAAAAAAAGTTAATTTTTTTCTATGCAGGTGTGAAAAAAACACATTTAAAGGTGTTTTTATTGATTAAAAAGACCTTTAAAGGTGTCAGTTTTCACCAGATTCTCACAATAATTCTCACAAAAAGCAAAAATGGTCTTTAGGCCAGTGGAGCCAGGTTTCTGGTTTGGGAGCAAACAATTAATGCCTGACTAGTTTGTGCCGTTCTGAAGCTGAATCCTGGGGGTTCCAGTACAAAAAGATTGGGATCCCAATCTTTTTATACTATTGTTAACATTGTTAATCAGAACAGTTTTCTTCTCTCAAGTCACAAAAGTTGGTGATGAGCCAGACTGAACATATATCTCCTCTGATGCATGTCTATAGTTTGGATTTAGAAGTCCTGATCAGAATCCCACAAGGGATGCTCTTAATGAGCCATAAGAAACGAAAACCCTCTGCGTGCGTGTGCGGGCAGCCATTTTTGTGCAATTATCCTTTATCATACTTTGAACTCATCAGATTTAAAAAGTTGAGGACACTGATAAAACGCTGTCTTTAATATGTGTTGATTTTTACTGTGTAGTTGTACATGTCATGTATCCCCCCCAGTACAGCACCACAAAAGCACAGTGCTGTATGCTCACCAGTGTTGGTCAAGTTACTTGAAAAAAGTAATCAGTAACTAATTACCGATTACTTCCCCAAAAAAAGTAATCCCATTACTTTACTGATTACTTATTTTCAAAAGTAATTAATTACTTAGTTACTTTTTAAAAACACGATTTACAACCTGAATAGGTGATAAAGTGATAGATCTTTCAGCCCAATTCTACTTTTTCTACATAATCCATCATACAAAATGTAATCAAATGGAAAAGTCTCTTTTTAAAACTTGTTTTATTAGTTTTAATCTTTTAACTTTATGCATCAAGCAAACATTTAATTATCTGCAACATTCTCTGACTGGAAGAAATTAGTTTAACATTTAAACCTATTTTCTGCACATTCCAGCACATAAAATAAAATATTTTTTGTGTTTACACTCAGTCTTTCAAATAGATGCAAGTAAAACACAGCAGAAAATAAATAAAGTCAAAGACTAGCGGTCCTGTTGCTCTATTGTCACCTGTAAAGCAGGAGTGGGGTAGGCGAAGGTTTACCCTGGTGCAGGTGTGCCGCAGCCAGTGGAAGAATCCACAAGTTTCTCTGTGAGTTTCACATTAGCGCACTCGGTGCTTGTTTAGGGTTTTTTTCGCTGTAAAAAGAAGTTTTCTTCCCACGCACAACGGACACTAATGTTTTTGTCACTTTTTATGGAATCAAACTCAAAGTAAGGTCAGTACTTCCACGCTTTAAACGCTGCACGCTCATACTCTCTCCTCGATATATGATCCATTGTTGATCTGCACACAGCTGTTGTCACAAACGTAGCACTCGCTTACGTCACTGTCATGAGACATTCTCGCAAAAAAAATCACGGTTTTAGTAACGCAGTAACGCAGCGTTCCTACGGTAAAGTAATGGTAATCTAATTACCGATTTTGCAATAGTAATCCCTTACTTTACTCGTTACCTGAAAAAAGTAATCAGATTACAGTAACGCGTTACAAGTAACGCGTTAAAAGTACTCTGATGCTCACACATGCTGAAGCTAATTATCTCTACTGGAGGCGGTGCCTGATAACGCTCTCGCTGATCATACCTGTGTTTCCTCTCAGAGATGCTCAGTCAACTTGGTGAAGCCCTGAAAACACCAGTGTATTATATTTGTAGGCATAAAAGACATTTTATAACACAACAAATACGTTAATATGAAAAAAAACTTCTTGTGTCACCAGTCAATGAACTTCTGTCCCTTAAAGTGTGCAATGAATTCAGATAGATGAATGAGACACTCTGTAAATAGTCAGCAAGTGTCTTCTGTCAGCTTTCAACTACAGCACAACATGGAGACGTCTCTAGGTAAAGTTCTGAAACATGGAGAGCAGCAGCATTTCAGTCTTGGTGGTTCCAAATAAAGACCAAAAAAGTGCACTGAACAAAAAACCCCACAGATTTACCAAAGTTATCTTCAATCCAAAGTAATGTGATGTTAAAGATGAATTGCACAAGGCACATTCAAATAATATTAAGAAATCACACAAGTTCTTTGTTCCGAGAGTTCGTTGCAAGGATGTGTTAGAGTATTAGTAACATATTCAGAGATTGGGACTCAGAGGGTAAGACGACCAAGAACCACTTACAAAGCATGGGAGGGGACAAAAACTAGTGGGCGGGGTATGGTCACATGGAAGTGTTGGTGACATGAAGAGATTAAGCATCTGAAAGACAACAATGAGCTGATAAGTTCAAAGACCAAGGCATATTGTGGCAAAACAAACGTTTCACAGGGCCAGCATCAAGCATGCTGGGGAAATTGTCTTCAGATTTACTTGACTTACTTGACTAACCAATTCAGCAGGATGAACGGGCATTGTTCATGTTAATTAATGAGACACAATGTGTAAAGATCAAAGAAGCTTCATTTCAAAGAACTCCTGTTGCTTTAAAAATACATTTTGATATGCTGTCATGTTATGAACTATAGTTTTTTTTTACCAGCTGACATTTAAAATCGCAGATTCCAGTCCTATTTTGTCACTATCAGCTGCGTAGCATGAGGATAGTTTTATTGTGGTGCCAAATGCAGAACACAGCAGAAGTAAAAATATGGCAAGCCTTTAATGCTGAATAGTTCAAAGATAAACATGATCCAAAAAACAGTGGAGCCAGGAAATGCAAATAACAAAGAAACAGTAGGAATTAGGGATGCACCGATACCGATACTGGTATCGGGTATCAGGGCCGATACTGTAAAATGT